TTGAGCTGGGCTGTCAATCTCACCCCTGGCCTTGGCACTCCAAGCCTAGGCTCATCCCTAGTGAGCTGGGCAATATCCCCTTCCCCCTTCGAACCTGGTTTAAAGCCCTCTCAATGAGCCCTGCCAGCTCGTGGCCAAGAATTTCCCAGTTTACAGTCCATGTGACGTGGAGGTGTACCGGAAGGAGGAACTCCTTGCTGTCCATGAACACCAGGAATATATTTAATAGTCACAGGTGGCATTCGGCTTCCCTGATGCCAAAAACCTACAAGCAGGAACTTCATGATACAGCTGTGGCCTTTGAGGGTGTTAAAGGTGCACACAATGAGCTTCAGGGGTAATGCAGAGCTGCCTGAGGCAGTGCCTCCCAGGCTTGCCTTACAGTCAGCAGAATGGAGGAGATGTTCACCTGACTTGTTTTAGATGGTCACATAAGACACAGGAGGATTCAAACACAGGCCCCTATCAGTTACCTGTCCCTACCCCACACACGGTCCAATGGTCCCACCGCACAGGATGGGTGTGTTTACAGCTGTCTCACGTCCCCATGGCACTGTACCTTGACAGCCCTCTGTCCCTGTCTGCCCTCCTGTTTTGCTGTCCTCCCTCAGTGCCTGGACCCTTCCCAGTCCTTGTCATGTCCCACGCAAGGGCTCGCAGACAGCCCAGTTCTGTGTGCTGCTAAGGTCTGGGCAAGAACAAAGGCCTGTCAGGGCTGACGGAGATTAGCAAGAGATGGCCAGAAAGCAAACCTCAGCCATAAACTGGGGTGAGTGGTCAGTGCTGGCAAGAGTGGTGGGAGAGGCTGGGTGGTGATGAATGCCCTGGGCATCTTGTCTGCTCTGTCCATGCCACCAACGACACAGGCCAGCGTCCTCGCTCCTGCGCATTTTATGATTTGCCACTCACCCATTTGGACTCACACACTGTTCTTGGAGATCCCTTGAGCTTTTCTGGCAGATCCCAGTTCCTCTCCAGGATGCCACCTGCCATCAGCCCCATCACAGGTGGGACAGTGCCATACAGATCAGTCAAAGACCAGTTGCTGTCTGCTTGAGCACATGCCACCAAGAAGGGAGCTCTTGATCCAGCACTTGATCCCTAGGAGATTTCCCTGGGACTCTGAGTTTGTCCTTCTGAATCTGTTGAGGACCCCAGAACAGCAAGAGGACTTCTCATGACACAGCTCCTTGGGTGTATTCCTGAAACTAGCTTTGGAAGAGGCACATGGTCTTCTGGCCCTGCTCTGAGGAGACCCTATGGTCACGACTGTGTTAGGAGGGACATCAGCTCTGACACAGCGGTTTACATTGCCAGCTCCTGCCTGCAACCATAGGGATACCACTGGGGAGGCAACAGGACTGTCACAAGTTACACAACACCTTAATGATAACGGAAAGGCAATGGCACATCAGGACAGTGTGGAATTGAGGAGAGACCAGCACTGAATGGCATCCTGCTGTTTGCCATGGCCGTGACTCCTGGGAACCAGCAGCCCTGACTTGCAGGTCACAGAGTCTGTCCACTGACTCACTGAAGGGCAGTGTCTTGAGCCCCCAAGGGCCACTGGGGCTTCTCCATAAGACAAGTGGGCTCTTGGCTTCTAAATCCCTCCTGCCCGCTGGTGCTGCACCCCTGGCTGAAGAAGAGATACAAGAGATGGGAATGGAGACAAACCATTTTCTATTGGTTTCTTTATTGAGTTTGCCTAATCAGGGAGACAGGTTCCATATGTACATGATGTCTTTGAGTCAGAATAAAGGAAGGAAGAGACCAAGAATATAATTATCTAAAGGGAAATAATATTATCAGCTGTAGAATCATAATTAAAAAACAACACCCAAAACCACAGAAGAACATAATATACTCATGTCTTTCCCTGAGATACCCCAGAGCTATTGTGAGGATGATTGGAACGTTAGTGATGCTGAAGTAGCATGTATTCAAATAGGTTCCTCAAGGAATCCTTTAGTTCCTTGTTCCTCATGCTGTAGATGAGGGGGTTCACTGCTGGAGGCACCACTGAGTACACAACTGCCACCACCAGGTCCAGCAACTGGAAGGAGATGGAGTGGGGCTTCAGGTAGGCAAACATGCCAGTGCTGACAAACAGGGACACCACAGCCAGGTGAGGCAGGCACGTGGAAAAGGCTTTCTGCCGTCCATGCTCAGAGGGGATCCTCAGCACAGCCCTGAAGATGTGCACATAGGACAGCACGATGAAAACAAAACAACCAGAGAGTAAAATGCCACTAACCATGAGAAGCCAGACTTCCCTGAGGTACGCATTTGAGCAGGAGAGCTTGAGGATCTGGGGGATTTCACAGAAGAACTGCTCCAGGGCATTCCCTTGGCAGAGGGGTAGTGAAAATGTATTGGCAGTGTGCAGCACAGCATAGAGAAAGCCACTGCCCCAGGCAGCTGCTGCCATCTGGACACAAGCTCTACTGTCCAGCAAGGTCCCATAGTGCAGGGGTTTGCAGATGGCAACATAGCGGTCATAGGCCATGACAGTAAGAAGACAAAACTCTGCTGACAAGAAAAGAAGAAAGAAGAAGACTTGTGTAGCACATCCTGTGTAGGAGATGTCCCTGGTGTCCCAGAAAGAATTGGCCATGGCTTTGGGGACAGTGGTGGAGATGGAGCCCAGGTCGAGGAGGGAGAGGTTGAGGAGGAAGAAGTACATGGGGGTGTATAGGCGGTGGTCACAGGCTACAGCTGTGATGGTGAGGCCATTGCCCAGGAGGGCAGCCACATAGATGCCCAGGAAGAGCCAGAAGTGCAAGAGCTGCAGCTCCCGTGTGTCTGTGAATGCCAGGAGCAGAAACTCAGTGATGGAGCTGCTGTTGGACATCAGATTCCTTGGGGCACAGGGACCTAGCTAAAGAGGAACAGACAGTGACAAGTGAGGGCAGTCTTTAACCAAAACCTATCCTATTCCTTACACAAGGTGCCACCCTCCCCCTCCCCGTACCCTCCACCTCCCCTCCCCTGCCCCCAGCCTGTCTTTCTATTAAGACGTTTTACATCTCCCTGAACCAAGCTCTGGTTAGTGCTGGCTTGGGGTGTAATGGGCAGCAGGGAACACTTCTGTGGAGGAGTCAGTCCTGCTGTGCACCAAGAGACAAATGGGAACCAAAAGTTTTCTCTGATTAAATCCAGTCACAACATCAAAGAGCTTTTCAGCATTGCTTCTCCCAGTTCACTTGACTGCAGAACAGATCTGTGGGGGTTTTATTTTGTTCCCCTTTCCCCATTCACATCTGGGGAGTGTTTTGTGAAGGCAGACATCCCTGGTATTTCTGCTACACTGTGAGTGCTATGCTGAGAGCACTGGGCAGAAAAGGGACAAGCCTGCAGTGCACAGGTAGGAGAGTCAGTCTGTCCGTCAGTCTTGCTGTCAGCTGTTCTTGCCTTGCACCTATTTGAGCTGGAGGACAATCACACTCAGATGTTCCCCTGCAAGGAAATTGGATACTACTGAGAGCAGAGGAGTCCCGTTTTAAAGTGTAGATGATCTGCACAATCCCCTCCCCAGAGAAGAGCCCTGCACTTCTGGATACCCTGAAGATGGGGTGCCTGAACGGAGAGTTGGGTTTATCCCCCGCCATGGACCCCATTTCCCAGACTGACAGGTTTGAAGGAGCTTGGACACCTTGCTCCCATGGACCCACCTGCATGGCAGGACCTGCAGGCTTAGTTTCTGAGCTGCAGCTACAAACCCCATCCCCAGAGAGCCCGAAAACAAGAACAGCAGCAGCAGCAGTGGATGGAGAAAGAAGGAGGAATGCCCCAGCGCTTCTCTGAAAGGAGACAAGGCCAGGGAGGGATAGATAGGCACTCAGGAGAGTAAGTCCCTTCTGCTGGAGGTCTGCATACAGAGGAAGCTGCTTCTGCCCTGGACCACACCGCCTTGAGGGCAGAGGCTTTGCTGAGTGGGAGATTAAACCAGGGGACTTGCTAGGGGAAAAGCATACTGACTGATGCGCTGACAGAAGGGTGCCCAAATCCCTCCTCCCACCCTTTGCTGTCAGCAGTTTCCTCTCAGCCCCTGGCCCTGTCTCTGTTGTCTGGAGTTGTCTCTGCTGGGAGCTGTTTCCCTGTACTAAGGTCTCCTCCCTGCCAGTGCTCACAGCCCCCGTCCCATCTGCTGTGCACTCACCTCTGCCATGCAGACACCTGCCCAGGAGCAGCACTGTGTTGGGAAGTCCTCAGGTTGGATAAATGCTGAGGAGACCACAGAATGGACAGGACTGGCTGTAGGCAAAGGAATGGGTGAAGGGTCTGCATCAGGTTCCTCACGGACCTACTGATCTCTCAGGGTAATCCTGTAGGAGTCTGGATCTCTTGTGCAAATGTAACAGCTTGATTGTCATTTCCCCCACAATCACAGCAGGAAACTGAAAGCATAGACCCCAGCAGACAACTTCCTTCCAGGTAGCCCCTGTCTTGATGTCCTTCTTGAAAAGTCCCCTTGGAAATCTTCTGGGGTGATCTGGAGCTGTAAAAAGCCTGACCCATGCAGCACCCTCTCCACAGCAGAAGGACCCTGCCCTGCCCTCCTTCTACCCATGGCTTCGCCCCACGGTGCTGTGGGGAGCTCCCCAGGCAGGCCGAGTGCTGACCCTGTTAGGTGGCAGAGTCCCTGCCCTGGCACACAACCCCTGGGGCGCAGGCACCTTGCCTAATGGACAGCCCCGGGCACCCCTGGTTGCACACTTCTACACACAGCCCTGCAGTCATCCACAGGAGAAGGGAGTTGTCATGCGCTGTCCCTCTGATGGTGCAGCAGGGAAGCCCTGCTCTGGAGGATGCCCTCCTCCACTACACCAAAAAGATTTGAGATTCCAGCTACCAGATACCACAGGCTGTGGGCTATGTCAGATTTATGAGATCCACCGAGGAACTGCAGTTGCATCGCCCTGCACCCAGGAACTTACAACATCGAGGGCTGCAAAGGCTTCTCCCCCAGCGAACTCTCAGCATCCTCCCACCCCAGACTGCCTTTAACCTCTATCCGCCTCACTCCTCTCCGTTGGTGCCTGCAGGCAGTGCCCTCAGCCCTGCTGTGCTTTGCCAAGAAGCTTCTCCTCAGCAGAGCTGTCTCTCTGCAGGACTGCCTAGCTGCGGAGAGGTCCCTTTGTCCCAGGAGCCCAGCACAACTCAGCAGCAGAGGACTAGCTGAAGGCATCGCTCTCTCTACCTTCTCCACCCCACTCTGAGCTCCCTCCAGATGTCCCTGGAGCTCTCCAGGAAACTACTTGGAAAGAAACAGAAGTAATCACTGATCTTCCATCTCTCATCTCTGCAGAGACACTGCTTTCCAGCAATGTCTTTTCTTCTTTCAGAGACAGTTAGGTTTTATAATCACCTTTCCTCTTCCCACTATTAGACAGGATACCTGGAGAGCGATAGGGAGGGATGTCTTTTCTCCAGCTGAGTCAATGGAGCCATCTCAGTCAGGGTTTGTAGTCCTGGGGCTGGAAGGGTACCCAGCTCCCTCCACGCACACCACATGTTTATTAAAGCTATTCATTTTCATGGCCAGATACATGCAGCAGTGAGAGCTACGTTAGATGTCAAGGCTCTTCAGCACAAGGGCATACGGGTTTGCTGAGACAGCACAGGACCAAGACAAAATCTGATCTTGCTCATTGTGGGAGCAAAGAGACATCACAGGGCATCTCAGAAAGATCCAGTGTCTGTGTGCAAGTGAATGACTCCCATGACTGCAGTGATGCCAGGTCTGTCCTATCTCCATCCAGTAGATGCAAGCAGTCCGTGAACAAGAAGCACATTGCACCAGGGTCTCTGCTCCTGGGCCTACGCACCTACTTCTCTCTCTAACCTTTTACTCATCCCCTTGATGACACAGTCAAGGAACAGGTCAACGATTTTCACAGTGTGCATGGATCACAGCATGTCCACATCCAAAGACACTTTCAGCACCACCTCATCCTTCCTGGAGATCAGTGCCTCCTCTCTGCTACAGGCCCTCAGGAGCTCCAGAGACACCACAAACACCAAACACCTCTCCTGCCAGGGCTGCACAACTCAGCCCTGTTTGTCTCTGACCTTGGGACAGCAGAATTTGCTCTCCTTGCTCTCTGTGCGGGCACCTTATCTCGTCTTTACATTGCCATCTACTCCTGCATGTCTCTGCTCTAAAGCAAAGCTTTTGCACACACAGGGTCTTGGGCACTGCATACCAGGTTTCCCCATGATATATCTCAGCTTGGCCCTTGAGGGGGCTGAGGGGCTGCAGGCCACATGTGCACCACTGTACTCTGGCTGGTGCACAGACAAGAGGAACTGGAGACCAGCATACCATTGTAGAGCTTTGACGTTGATGGAGTAACTGCTTGGGTGTAGTTTGGCTACTGAGATGACTGGGGGATGGGGTGTGGATAGTTAGGGCTTGGCGGTCGGAAGATGTCGCGCTGTACGGAAAGGTAGGCCCCCCCTCCTCTCCTGATAGCCAATAGCGCTTAGCCCATGACGTAAGCGATGCTGTAAACCTAAGCTATATAATGCTGTGTTATTTATCAATAAACGCCATTTGCTGTCCACCACATTGGTGTCTGCGAGCTGATGGCCCGAGCGGCCGGGGGGTGGTCGCCGAGCCGTCCCTGAACCAGGTCGCCACGCCTACGAAGGCAACAAGTGGTGCCGAAACCCGGGAAAGACTAGCCTGGAATTGGGTGAACGGCGGCC